GCTATGATAGTATGTTTAAATGATTTCATGTAACAACCTAAAATAATCCCGATAATCTGACGATTAATGCATCTGGCGGTGGTACCAGAGAATTTCTCATATCAAGAGCCACGATAAGAGCGTACGGCAGAGAAAGTTTAACGATTTCATTGTCTCATTTAATGTCACCTGGCATCGTGCGGTTTTGGCTCGACATATAATGTAACACAAAAAATCGAAAATCCTAAATTAGGGAAAGGCTAAAGCGGAGCAGAACGTGATCCTGTATTTGCAGTTTTATTGGCTGTCATACAAATTTGACCAATGGAATTGCGAGGGATCTGCTCCGCTTTAGACATGCCCCTAAATTAGATGTTACATCCGATGTGTTACACACCGATCGCTAATAAGGCGTAATATTAGCATCCAGATAACGACATACTTCCTCATAATTAAAGATCGCTTTGGTTTCACCTGTGTAGCTGTTTACGACTATTATTAACCCCCTGTCTATAATATGATCGTATTTGTCCCTGTTACAAAGCAGTAAATACTGCTTCGGATTTACACCAATGCTACGGATAGTTGATATAACGTAGATCCATAAATATAAAGTCGCAGTTATTATTTGTTATAGCTGTATGAACTTGTTATACTGGTATATGCATTACTCGATTAGAACGAAATCTAAAGAACCAATGCCACAGTTCGCTAACGACAAGTTTGATGTATAAAATAGGCGAAGTTGCTGGAGATTTGGATAAGAAAATCATTATAAGTGAAGCCGGCGTGGCTAAAACGTTTACTTTATAAATCAATATGATTAACCAATTTATCAACCGCAAAATCAATAACCACAAGATGCAACTCAATATTTTCGATATACTTTTATTTGCGATTTTTGTCGCCGTGTTTGTGGTCTATGTGTTTGCTTATCAAAGTGTATCGAAACTTGAAAGAGATGTTTCAATATTAAAAAATAAAACCATCAAAATGCATACTGAAGCGGAATGGAGAAGTGAAGCCCAAAGTAAAGGTTTGTAAACTATTTCGCGAGAATGATACACAGTGCTAAGTCACGTAAAATTATATATTATTATATTTGTTTCAGAGTTAAACTCATTGCTTTATAACCCGAATTTTCTAGGGCAAGCATCTGTACAAAGTTACGGATCTGAATACTCTACCGAAATTAAAACCCTCTGGGTTGAATTTACTGCCTTGAAAAAGGAGAAACGCTCACTTGCACAAATGTACAATGTCTTGTCCGGAAAAATAGGTCTCAGTCTAACAACGGTTGCAAGTTTCTATCGGCATCAAAAATGGCCGTAGAGAACATTGTTAGACAAAATCGAAGTAAAAGAAAATCGAAAAAGGGATAATTCTCGTAGCAGAAGCAGTAATCTATTTTTGAGTAGCGCTAACAGAGAAATAATTCGCGTTGGCAGTAGTTTCAAAAACAACGATAACAATAATGATGATATTAGTTAATATTCGCGAGCCCAAAGAATAGGAGTAGTTATTGTCTTCCGCCGTACGGCAGAGACAAGCTTTGGGTCTGACTACTTCTAGTACTCTGATCAAGTACTAGTTTGCCTCCCATGCAAGCTCGCGGTTATTTAAATCAGATATTGTCGTTGACAAGTAGACGTTGTTTGCAATAAATTATGTATTTTGCGTACTGCGCCTGTGAACTCAAGTTCACAATAAATACTGCAATGCTGAACCGATTGCGTAACACAAATTAGAAGGCGGACACAATACAATTGTTCCATAACGTGATATGTAAAGAATAAAAGAGATTTTCACTTTGTCTCCATTATCCTTTATCTCTGACAAAAGCATGGCGGGTTCCCGATCTATTTTGCTAACCTGGCACCTGTAGTTGATTCGGCGCTTCAATACAAGGAGTATCACATGTTTGTGTAAGTAAAACGTATAAACAGGGCGGGCGCAGATCGCGATTCTTCTTTCACTAAACATATGAAAAACATCTAGACATGGACTACTCGCTGGGCCCATGGAACTTCGCTGCTAAATACACAAAAGAATATCGAGAAGCAACTGGCACAGAGATCGAAGATGCATATAATAAGTATAAAGAATTTTACACTACGTACCACCGGGACAACCCCGCAGCAACAACAGATTGTTACGCGGAATACCTCGAAACACTCGGTAAACAAGGTAAGAAAACACGTTTATTGGGAGGATAGAGGAGCAACGGGGAGAATAGTTTGAATACTGTTACTGGTTTTGTGCTATATTGCAAGAGAGGCTGTTGGGCGTTATTAGTTGGGGCAGAGCTGCGTCATAGAGACATTACGGGGTTCGTAGCAGTAATGGAGAGAGAATAGTTGGAATGCATTACGACGTGCGTTGGGAGGAGTGTAGAATAGAGCTTAGTAAATCGCAGAGCTGGGTCATATGGAGAGAATAGTTCGAATGCATTACGACGTGCGTCGGGAGGGGCAACAGGGGTTCATAGAGTAGCCATGCAGCGGGTAGTCGAAGTGCGTTACTGGGCATTTATTAGACTATTCTATTCATTATACCTCTTCCTTCATATATTCATCCCGTTGTGGAAAATTATTGGTATGTTGATGCTATATATCCCATTCGGAATTGTTTCAGTAGACGATACACCAATCGAAAAAAAGTTGCGAATCCAACACAGCAAGGATGAGGAGAAGCAGTTTGCGCAGGCGTTTCGGGTACCATACGATGACCCAAAGGGGAAACGCGTGGATCGTTTCGTGAGCTTCTGTAATAAGTGTGTTAAAATGTGGAATCCAGCAAAGTATTATGCCTTGTACTCATCAATAGTGCAGTCAAGCGGCACTGGTAAATCAAGACTACTTGCGGAAGTCGCTAAGAAACGATATGTCATTTACTGCTGTCTCCGAGGTCCTGGTAGCACAGGTTACCCCCCAAGTTCACCCATTCGTCGTAAGCTTATTACAGATGCTCAAGCAACAGATCCTCGAAAATGGCCAAGTGAAAGACTCTACGTCTCCTTCTTGGTTGCTGCCATCGAAGTATTTCAAAACACAATGTCTAACAATCGTATGGACTGTGGTGCGTGGTTCAATTACCATACCAATGAATCCTGCAGCTACTGGAAAGAGGTCGAAGAGCGTATGGACTATCTCAGCTATGAAAAGAGAGCAGATTTCAGTGAAATACATCAAAAAGATGCGATCGCCAGGGCTCTGAAGAATGTTGGGTGTTTCGACAAGAGATTTGTCACACATTTGATCTTTGCGTTCGACGAGGCACGTTCTCTTCTGCCATCAAGGTCAAACGCTGACTATTTCTCATCGTTGCGTCGCGCCTTGCGGTGCCTTCCAACATACCACCCAAGTCAACACCAAGCATTCGCAGTAATGCTTGATACGACGTCAGCTGTAGCTGACTTTTTGCCTGAAATGGAACGCGATCCTTCCAGTCGTCCTTTGATCGAAGGATTGAAGTTGATGCCACCATTCTACCTTCTTGATACAATCGATGATACTATAACTGTCGCAACCCCCCCCAGATCCATCGAAGAAATGTATTGTGGGCAGCGATTACTACAACTGGGCCGCCCATTGTTTCGTTCGTACATCCAGGCCGGCGATTTATCTTTTTTCTCAACACATCTCAGTACGCTTAAGAATACTGCTGCTGCTAAGCTTGTTGGAGGCGAGTTTCCTCGTGTTGTTCAGATGACTGATGCACTAAGCGTGCTTTCTTGCCGCGTGTGTGTTGATATAGTCCCAACAAACCATATCGCGTCACAACTGGTAGCAAGCTACATGCGGTTTTGTGTGTTCGTCAGCGAATCGCGTCAGTATCTATTCACTATTGCACCTTCGGAACCGTTTCTTGTCGACGTGGCAACTGACCTTATGTATCAAAATGGTTGTCTGGTGAAATTGATCAAGCAACTGTCAGACGCAATGAGATGTGGCGTTGTAGATGGTGGCTCTCGGGGAGAACTTGTTGCTCGTTTATTGTTAATTTTGGCTGTGGATCAAGCCATCAAGCAATCATTGTGGAAGCAAGAGCTTTCACACACATGTCCAGTCACTGTGGAACTATTCTTTGATCACCTCTTCGGCACTGATGCACTCTCAAAACCTGTATGCAGCTCTACTGACCAGCGGGAGTTATTCAAGCGGGGGCTGATCTTCTTCACGCACTTCATTCCTGTTTACTACAAGCCAAGGTGTCAGCACCTTCTTCATGCGCTGACTCGTGGTGCGGCGATAATCTGTGAACGAAATAACCAAGGAGTGGATATAATCATACCGGTTTTGCTACCAGCTGATGTTGATACCAATTATACTGACTTACATGCAGATGACTTCACATGCGAAGAAGATTTTCCTTCGAATTTTATCCCAGAATTTCCGGAAGACAATGAAGAAACTAGTCTCTTTGCTGCCTATGATAATCACGGTGATAGAAGCAAGAAGCGAAGGTTAGGCTCTGTGAGTATAGCCAGATGCTTTGCTAGTTCTTTTCAGTTAAGGTTTTTAATACCAACAATTTGATTGACATAATTTTGTTTGTTTAGGAAACAACCTCCAAAAACGAGTTTAAGAATTTTAGGTTGCATCCTTCACGTGTGTCATTCATTCTCATACAAGTCAAAAACTATCAAGATTCGATCGATTCTTTCAGCCGCATTGCACGTGAGACAATTAATCCCACGGTTTGTGGCATAATGGATGAACCTGCGCGTTTCCCATATGCATCGGTTTATATGCAGTTTGGAAGTAAAGGAAAGAGAAATCCCGTGATAGAGGCATTGCCCCTGCACGAGCAACAATGTCGACAGGATAGCAGTGGCATGTCCACAAAAGTGTACACAGACGATGAACTCAAAGCGCTAAATATGTATCAAATTGGGTTGGCAGCCTTCGGATTGGATGATAGCATTTATCCATGTCTTCGTAATACAGGTCATGCAAGCAAATCTCTGATTGAAGTTCTACAACTTCTACTTGTCTCATGGCCAGATCCTGCACGCATGAACGGAAGAAAAGGATCCAATGAAAATGCTGCTGTTCGACGCTGTGCGATAGGAAGTTATGCTACAGAATGGAACGATGCATCCTTCTGGGACCAAATAAGCAATGAGGAGTCAAATGAATAATAGATATTGTTTTACGTAGCTGCATACTTATGTTTACCGTATTGTTTTATAGCTTTAACATTGAAAAAATTAAATGTATGGCTTTTAAGTTTTAATAAACATATGCAAAAGCTTTGCAACAAAATTATATATAGGATTACCCGTATATGACGAATGATAATTATAACGATTCAACCGAATATGAAAAAGCAATACGTTTCCTGGAGATAAGTTGCGCTCAAAAATAATTCCGTTTGCTGAATTACGTGAGGCGTTTCAAGCTCTCGCTAGATCTGAACAAGATATATTTTTAATGGCCCAGCTGAAAGCGATGAATGGCGGAGAAATAACTGCCAGTCGACGTCTTAAAAAGAAAACGCGTACTAATAAGAGAACTTTTTATTATTGAGATCGCAATACGCCGCTTTGCCAGGAAACGTATCTTAATATGTTAGGAATTGGTCGCACACACTTCGAAAATGTCAGAAATCACCTAGCGACGAATGGTATAATACCGCGTGTTCATGGTAATATCAAACGAGTGCCGCGATGGAAAACCAAAATAACCATTGATGTAACCGTTGCTACCACCGTGAAGAATTTTCTTGATAACTATGCGGAATTCATGGACTGCCAGTCCGGGTAGAAATGTCAATCGCATTACTCAATCGCTTACACTTCTGCCAGCCGAAACAAGTTATAAGTCGGTTTATCGTAATTTTATTGCAGGTCTCGAAAATGATAGCACGTTGAAATTGTTAATTAGGATGCAAGTTATGGCACCTTACATCGAATCATAAGTCTAAGAACGGATTACGTAATTTCGAATAATGAATAGATTACGCATACATACGCCGCTAAGCTCAGAAAGAGGATATGAACGTTAATCTTGTAGATACGCAAAAAAAAATGGATGAGCCAGTGACCCAATGACCTAATTCGATTAAAATTGAATCCCGTTACAGGTATACATGTGTACGTCTAAAAACCTAAAAGCATTTAAATACATGAATCTTTATATTAATTGACAGTTGTTTAAAATGGATTTAAATAGGCATACTCCCGAAGAATGGACCGAATATTGCTGGATGCCACAAGTTCGCACAAATGAAACTCCCGGTGAGTGGAAAGAACGAATTTGGGAACGTTTAACTTACTTCAGAGAAAAAAATCTTTTACTGAACAAAAGATATCTTCAAGCTCGAAAATTGATACAACTAGCGGATGGTACTTCTTACTCGCCCACAATTGGAATTGCAATCTGTTTCTCGTGTGATCAACTAGTATACATTGGGCATATGACCAAAATATGGGGAATAACTATAGTCACATTGGAATAGAAAAACATTGGAGTAGCCATTGTACCGGAAATAAATTCTGTGATGTAAGATACAAAGAATATCTGAAACTTATACAGAAATCTCGATCTGATCGTATTTACAATGATAACTTTGCTTTACATCGCTATGAACTTTGGTTTACGAATGCAATTAATAAAGTTAAACGCGCTATATATGTATCGAAAAAGGTTCAAGCCTGTACAATTATACAAAGAAAATTTATCGAATATTACTATCGTCCATCTGGAACTTGCGCCAAAAAATTAGCTAGACATTACAAACGCTTATGGATCGTTCGCGAGCAGTACCGCAGAAATACGTCAGATGAGGCAGGTGTAACCACAGAACCTCGAAACTCCGCTTCTCTTGCTTGAATAACGTCATAATTTACAAAATCTTACGCACGGAGCTCGACTATGTCAAGAGCGGGAAGAATACTTGCATCTGTAATTTTAATTTATTTATCTAATTTCAAAGGCGCGTCCCAACCCAAACGAACGTAGAGAGAATCCTCTTTTGCTCTAGTCAAGTCAATCACAATGAACTGCCGACCCTGCAGATTCTTATCTATTATATCAACGGCGTTACGCCATTTTTTTGTATACCGCCTAACTATATCAACTAATTCATCATATGTACCGGCTCCATTAAAGAGCACAATATAATCTAAATTTTTTCTTATTAATTTCGGACAATCGAAAAAACTTTGAGTTACGTAGAT